TCCTGTTACTTTGGAGTTAATTACTTAACCTTGGAGTAGGGTGAACTAGGTATCTCTAAAGCTCCATCCAGCCATGAAAGACAAAAATGCTATATGATGCATTTGCCTATTCAAGGATTAACTATTGAAAATAAATTTATCTATCATAAAGGCAGAATCAGTCACTCACATTTAGAGAACTCCTGACATATTCTAATACTATGACTGGTGTTTATTCCAAAGAAGGAACTCACTTCAATTCACTTCACAGAATAGGCAAACTATTATTCTTGATAACACAGAAAGTTAGCAGAGATTATGGCTCAAGTGGTAGAGCACAGGCTGCGAGTTCAAACCCTAGCACTACCAAAAAAACAAAAAACCAAAACTACTCTGAGTTTTAAACTTCAAAGAAGTGTCAGGCGTGTAGTCCCAGCAGTTGGGAGGTTGAGGCTGGAGGATCACAAGTTCAAGCTCAGCCTGTACTATTTATTAATAAATAAATGGAGTATTTTCAAAATTGGTAAATATGTTGCAGACATAGTCAGATTTTCATCACTGTGGCAAATACCTGGGAGAAACAATTTATGGCAGGAAAGATTTATTGTGGCTTAACAGTTTCAGAGGTTTCAGTACCTGGTCACTTGACTCCTTTGTTTCTGAGCTTATGATTAAGTAGAGCATCATGGCAGAAAGGGCATGGTGGAAGAAAGCTACTCACCATATGACAGGATGTAAAAAGACCTAGGAAAGGCCTGGGGACAAGATGTCTTCCTAGGGCACACCCCTAGTTTTCTACCACTTCCCAATGTCAACACTTAATCAATCCATCAAGGGATTAATCCATTGATTAGGTCAGAACCTGTAGGATTCAATACCTTTCAAAAGTCCACCAGCTGGTAACCAAACTTTTAACACATGAGCCTTCAAGGACATTTCAGATTTCAACCCTAACAGGTGGAGATAGATTAGGAAAGAAACTTAATTTAGTAGATTAAGCTGAGGAGGAGCAGAGAGGAAAAAAAGCTAAGAAACAAGGAATCAAATTATGGACCTAGAGCACCCAAGTCCACTGTTACTGCCCAGGAACTTTTTTTTTTAGTGTTTTGGGAAAGACCACGATACAATGGAAAAATATGGGCTAGAAATGGAACATCCATAAATTTTAACCTCAGCACTATGCTCCAATAATTTTGTGACCCTGGACAAGAGATTTAAAGTTGGAGAGCCATTCCTCAATACTTAGGAAAAATTCATGTCCATAATGGACATGAAATTTTCTATTATCAAGAGTGGTATAATGTAAGCACTCAGCGTTCCTTTCTGTCCCTTGAACTGTAGTTAAGTGTACAGCATCTTTAAATGCTATTGGGTAAAAAAGTCATACCTGAGATCTGAAGAGGCTGTGTGAAGAATTTAGCTCCTGGGCCAGATTTAAATCTTGGCCTCTGCAACTTCCTTGCAGTGTGTTTGCTCAAATGATTATTATTTTCTGAGTTGCAGTTTCCACATAAGTAAATGGGCCTAGTCATCATATAAGGAAGAGGATTAAATGAGCAATACTTTGAAGACTAAGTTAGACAAACCTTAGCACAGTTCTGTTACAATAAGTATTACTCATTATTACTTTAGCCAGGATTTTGACTTGGGTGTAATTTCCAGCATCAGCCAAGGTGAAATTTTCTCTTCCTTGCCATCCCAAGCAGTTAGACCTTGCATTAGGCTGCACACAAAAACCTTTGTACATTTTGACTGAAGGTAAGATTTTTGGATGAGCTTATGTTCAGGTTCAATCCGGCAAGTTGTGCATTATCTGCTCTTCAGCTCCAGCCTTTGCAAGATCTAACAATTACTTGCCTACTTCACTATGCTTTCAGGCATACAGAACTTGTGTGTAATCAATCAATGACCACATGATTGCACAGATTATGGTAATATTGGTCACATCTAATTAGCAAGGCCTTGTTTTTTTTTTAATAAAGACAGGGCCTTACTATGTATCTTAGGTTAGCCTCAAACTTGTGATCCTCCCACCCCCTCCCCACTAGTATGGCATTCTGGTTTATATTAATAATTGAATATTCTCTTTCAAATAAAGATAAATATTGTATACATAACTTGGAGTGAATATTTCCCTGTGTGATGTATTCTATCCACCAATTGAAGTGTAACTGTGCCTTAAGAATGCAAGTCTTCTTACAGGATACTTGCTGTACCTTTCTACTCGAGGGAAGATGCTGGAGATGGCATACATGATATTCAGAAGCAGTATTTTCATCTTGAGAGCCAGTTATATTGAGAGCCAGAAATATTGCCATATTTCTAGAACCATGATGCTAATGTCATTCCATTTGGGCTGTTTTATCAAAATGCCTTAGATTGGGTGGCTTATAAACAAAAATTTATTTGTAGCTTGACATGGTGATGTATGCTTGTAGTTCCAGCAATAAGAGGCTGTGGGAGGCGGATTCTGATTTCAAGCCAGCTTGGGCTTCAGAGCAAGTTTGAGGCCAGCCTGGGCTACATAGTGAGTCTGCTTCAAAATACCAATAAAAATAAATAGGAAGAAATAAATAAAAAACAAGCAAACTTATTTCTCACAGTCCCAGAGTCCAGGAAGATCAAGATCAAGGTTCAGATCCTGCTTTCTGGTTCAGAGATGGTATCTTCTTGCCATGTACTCACTCAGGGGAAGATGCAGGGTAGCTTTCTGAAGTCTCTTTTATAAAGACACAAATTTCATTCATGAGAGAGCTCCATTCTCATGGATTAATTAACTTCCCAAAGGCCCACCTCATTATACTATCATGATGGTGATTATTTTCACATTTAAAATTTGGGAGGATACAAACATTCAGATTACAGCATAAAGTTTACGAACAATTTTTTTTCTCAAGTAATTGTGTGATACAGTAAATGTATACAAAAATTAGAATTTTTTTAAAGGACAAAATAGCTTAGGTTTCTGAAAACATCATCTAGCATAGCACATGAAGTTTGTTTGTGAGATTGCTTCAATGAAATCGTATTATTAATGTCCAACAAATATTCATACCCTGTTAAAGGGTAAATGCTTCTTACCTTGGTCAGTTACTAATGGAAAAAAAGCAAACCATTACAATTTAGCAGCTGACAATGCTGAGAAATTAATGATTCTACACTATTAAAATTTAAATGACTAATGTTCTAATAAAATTAATTTTTGAATAAAATTTTCTATTTATTCATGTATTCTAAAAACTTCCCCCTATGATAATCTGTTAAGGACTTTGCCAAATATTAATTTCAAGACTCAGTCATTGCGCATTTGGTTGAAGTGTGTATTTACAGTGCACTATGAACGTGACTCAGTCATATGTACCACAGGTGAGACTTGGTAGTCACCAAGTCACATACCCATACAGCTCCATCTCCAGGTTATCCACTTGCCAGTTTTGTGAGCCTTGTATAAAAGGATGACCAGGATGCTCCCACACTAGTAACATGCCCATCTACCTCAAGAGAAAGAAGGTAAAGGAGGGGGCACTTACACAGTCAAACCAGAAATGAGATGTAGTGATATGCATCTCGACTCTGGACTTCTAGATTGACAACTTAACCCTATTTGTTTTCAGTCCAGAATGAAGGCTGAAAACTTTTCTTGGAAATGAAACCTTCTAGAATTAGACATGCTTGAATTGGACTGTTGATGATAGCAATATGTATGGAAAGTTTGGTTTATACAAGAATGGCTGAAATTTTAGGATACCTAAAGTAACTTTCCATTCTGAAAATAACACCAAAAAAAAAAAAATCATTCTTGTACTAAAGATTAAGACATACTTCCAAATAAATCTTTTCCCTAAAGGCAGAGCTCATGGCAAATCTCTACAGAAAAAGTAGGCATTTTGTCTATTTGATAAGGCCATCAAATGAATTGATAGTTTATGGTTTTTTGGGTTTTTTTTTTTGGTGGGGTTTGAACTCAGGCCTTCATGCTTGCAAAGCAGGAGCTCTACGCTTGAGTCACACCTCCAGTCCATTTTGCTCTTGTTATTTTGGAGATGGGTGTTATGAACTATTTGCCCAGAATGGCCTCAAACTGTGATGCTCCTGACCTTAGCTTCCCAAGCATTTTAGGATTATGGGTGTGAGCGATAAGTATTTGGCCTTACACTATCATTTTGAGGAGATAGAAAGAAGTGATGAAAAGAAAGCTGTAAGGAGTTACTACTTTAAGGACTATTCACAGACTTAGGAATAACATAGTTGTAATCTCATAAAGGTGAGTCATTATAATAGAATGGGCATAATTGCATACTACATTAATTAACAGGTTATAGTTAGATAACCTACTAATAGATGGAATTTGGGCTTGGTTTGGAAAGTCTGAAGATATATAATACACTTTTACTATTTTCAGATTAATGTCAACAGCAGATCAGTGAATTTGTGTTCACTTCCTTCTTTATTAACCAACCTATGTTAGATTGGGTTTATGAACTTTGACTATAAAAGCAAAGACAACATTCAGACTAGAAAAGGAAAAGGACTACCCAGCCAAGTGAGGGGATCCTATAAGGGCCTTGACCACTCCTTGTGACAAAAGACACTAATTGGTATACTTCTAACTTCTCACACATGTCAAGTTTATGCTTGCCTCCTGGGCCTTTTCCTTCAATATTTCCTCCTCTGCCTATTTCTGTCTCATTCTTGTTCTTCATGTATAAGCTTAGATGTTTTCTCTAATGACTTCTAAAGAAGTACCCTCACTGACTCATCTCTTCCACTCTCTGAAGGCTGCTCCTTTACCTTCTCTCATCACTAAAATGCAAACTCACTGTGAAAGGGCAAACTTCTCTATTTTACTCACCATTTTATGGACATGTAAAAATAGCTGATGAATGAATGAATAGAAAAGTAGTAGAAAGCAAGCAATTTTACTCATCAGAAATTTCCTTAGGAAATAACAGGTCAAGTTCACCAAGACATAGATTCAAGATATTTATAATTATGAAAAACAGAACTTGTCCATCCAAATGAAAGTGCTAAATTAGTCATGACATATATGGAGGCATTAAAAAGAATATCAGAAACCTTTTCTACTACTGAGTGAAATAACCAGATTATAGGTATGTATCGAATGACCATATTATTATAGAGAAAACAAAAATAGTATGGCATTGTATAAGGTTAGAAGTAACAAAGGTTAAAACAAGAAATTAAAAATAGTAATTAGTTGTCAACATGCCTTTAACTGTTTTTTCCAAGTTTCCTTTGCTTCTGCCACTTGTATTTTGGTAGAAGGAAAACCTTTTGTAAAGACTAACAATACCACTCATTATGCATGTTTGGGCATATGAGAAAAAAATTTACACAAGAAAGACTTCAGATGGTTACAAAAGAATGATTTTTTTTCTTGCTCTAACAGTGGTAGAAAATGGCTTATTTACATCCTTATGCTTGTCCTCACATTCCAAAATGCACATACTCAAATGCCTACTCTTCTCTCAGAATAGCACTGCAAAGTTATTACCACTTTAGGATCCTCCTATTTTGAAGCATTAAACCTTAGTCTGATTACACAGTGAACTGACACTACCTTAAGTCTAAAACTATTCTATTAAAAAATTTCCCTTAAAAATCATATGTAACTACTAAAATTTGTCAATATGTCCAACTATTCCCTAATTTAAATACAAACTGGACAAGCTATACACAAACTAGCAGGATGATGATCTTCCAGCATCTTGATTTCATTCCATTGTCTAATTCTGAATAAAATCATTATATCTGAGCTCACAGAAACTTTCTTTTATCTCAATACAAGCTACCAGTGTATATATAAGAAGCTGTGAACAACAGCTTTTTATGATATACAGACACAAAGCTGTTGAGAAACAGTCTTTATGATGCCAATCAAAGAGTAAAACATCTGGTTAGTTTTCAAACTAAATAAGCTGACAGCCTCCATGCCAACAACTAGCAAAAGGCCCTTTACGGATTTCCCACTCACAACTGACTGATAAAGCAGTTCTCAACATTTTCAGTAGTTACATGATACTCGATTTTTTCCCATTCTTTTAAATAACTCTATTTGGTAGCAGTTACAATTAGCAATCCAATAGCACACAAGTTTATTTTTCAGTTCTTAACTTTTAAACAGTGCTATATAATTTTATTTTCTAATTTCATTACTCCCAGTAGAATATCTTCCAAAAGCATTTAATGAATCTTGAAATAGCTGACCTGGTATCAAATGATGTTCTAAGAGAGTTCTAAGCCAAAGTTTATTTTAAACTAAGTTTAAAGTAAAACTTTCATACTGTTGAATAAATGTGCAAAGATCTTAAAGAACTAATTTGAAATGTGATACAATCTAGTGTTTATTGTATGCTATGGCAGATACACAAATTTCAAAATTTTTAAACATATAAAAAGTGGTTAGGGACTAACATTTGTATCAACAGTTGATAAGTGTCTAAGACTGTTTATTATACAGCAGGATACAATGGTAGTGATAATGTCAACAGGGCACCATGGAAATTAGTCTAAAAATTATCACTAGGCTTTATACAAGCAACAATGTACACTGCTGTTTTAGAATTTCAGGACATGATCTGCTTCTAGTGCTAAGCAGTCCTTTAACATTTTAATGTTATACAGTGTTAGAGTATTTAGTTTGGCAAATGTTTCAAAATAAAGTAGAAGTGTATTCATAACATCACAGAAATGCACATCCAATTTTGTTTTCAATAAGAACCATAAGTACAGATCAAAACTCTTCCCTATATGAAATAATTTACACACAGATGAATGCTTAATATCACTATCTAAAATAATCACTAAATACAATTCTTTTTCAGAAATAAACAAGCAATGTTTTTTATCATCAAATATCAAAACATATGTTTCTTTAAACAAATGATATGCTAAAATTATAGGAATAATTTCAGTGAATTCAGTGAATGCACAACCTAAATCAACCAAGTGTATTATAGTAGAACCATATTAAGAAACCAATGATCAGAAAATACAACTGTATGAAAGAAACTTATAATCCACAAAACTGTGTTTCAAGCCTTAAGATAAAACAGTTCCACAGTTTACAGATAAAACCAAGGCAACAAAAATGCGTGCTTGTCTTGTATAAGAAGATATCTTATGCAGAAGATGTAACACTTTGTTTGTAGACAGCATGGTATGCATTTCTCAGCAACACATAAGGAAAACAAGATTCCAAGAGATCCATTGTCAGGAATGGTGATTCCTGTACAATCTGAAAAATTCCAAAAATGTGTCAAAATTCAAGTTTTTTAATAAAGAAAGCATTTATTATGATCAACTAGGAAGTCATAATTTCTATACTGTTCTCATTAGAAATAGACACAAACTATTTTCCTTTTACTTTATAATCTAAAATGCAAATGTGCCACAGTAAATGCTATCAAATGTTTTAAAAAATGCTATTTTTTAATTAAATCGATTTATCAGCAGGAACATATCAAGAACTTTCATTGTCTTCAACAATACACTAGATATAAAAGAGAATAAAAAATATTTAAAATATGGTCTATACCATTAAGTTTAACTAGTGACTTAAGACTAAGCTAGAAAATAAAACCAAACATAACACTAAGTTGGTGGAGTGGCTCAAGTGGTAGAGCGCCTGCCTAGCAAGCATGAGGCCCTGAATTCAGACCCCAGAGCTGCCAAAAAAAAAGAGAGAGAGAGAAACACTAATTAAACAGAAAGCTGCAAATGTAGAGGGAAGAAAGATTAATGTAAGTCAAAGTAATCAGGAAACACAATCTGGAAAAAAATTTGAACTATGGGATGTGCTAAGTCATTTGAATAGACACAGATCTCTGGAGGTAAGGGAAATGACTCTATGTGAAATAGAAACAAGCATAGCTGGTTCACAGATACTACAGAGAAGAAGGAGCTGACAATGCACAGGTAACTATAGGAAATCACATTAGATGGGTAGAAGAGTCAGATGTAGAAAACTCAGTAAGTTAGAGGAGAACTGAAACTGATAAAACTAGAAAAAGTATTTCCCAACAGGTGAAAAACTGTTCAGATGTCCCACATAGTAATGCTAATCTTTCATCTTGCAGTCTTCTGATATTAACCTAATAGTAAAATGTGATGTCAGTCTTTTCAGCAATTTTTAGAAACTTTATGGCTTTGGGTGGATTAAACAGAAGAGATGGAAAAGAAAAATGTACTTGAACTTGCCAAGAAAAAACACTGAGGAAAGACTAAAACATTTTTGTTATTAGTAAAAATCAAAATGAGACTTACCATATCTAGCAGTAAATAAACAGATTCTCTGTTTCTTGTTGTGGTTTTATCTGTCTCCTGGCCAATTTTCAGTAGACTGGAGGATGCAAGCTTAAAAGTATAAATATATATTAAGTTTATCAGTTACTTGTTTATTTTCAGTATGCTTCAACTTCTAACACATTTCAATCATTCAGTGCTATATAAAAATAATAAACAAATAACAAGATGAGCCTAGATAGCTTACATTCAAATAGCAACTTAAATAATTAAGGTATAAATGTAATAAAATATTCTTGCTGGTTTTTTAAAACTGGTATTTTTCAGAACAAGTCTGTTTCTTAAAATGACTCAAATTACTTTCTCTTACCAGTCTATACAATAGACTTTCCCTTATCCATGATTTCACTTTCTATGGCCAACTATAATCAAAAAATATTAAATGGAAAATTCTAAAAACAGACTACTCATAAGTTTTAAATTGCATGCCCTTCTAAGCACTGTGATGAAATCTTCTACCACCCCACTCTATCCTACCAGAGACATGACTCATCCTTTTGTCCAGCACATCCACACTGTATTCTGCTGCCTGCCTGGTAGTCACTTAGTAACCATCTCAGTTATGTCATAGTAATGCAGTGCTTGTATTTATTTTACTTAATAATGGTGACAAAGCACATTAGCTGTTATATTAGCAATCTGCATATGTCAAAGAGAAGCAGTAAATACTTCCTTTAAGTGAAAAGGTAAAAGTTCTTAACATACAGAAAGAAAAAAAATATCACATGCTGAGACCACTAAGATCTACAGTCAGAACAAATGTTCAATTTGTGAAATTGGAAAGGAAAAAGAAATGTGTGCTAGTTTTGTTGTCATATGTAAAACTGAAAGTTATGGCCAAAGTGTGTGTTAAGTGCTTACTTAAGATGAAAAGGCAAGCCCTGTGAAATACATCTACAATCCCAGTATCCAACCTCCAGTACTTAGGAGGCTGACACAGGTGGATTATGAGTTCAAGGCCAACCTGGGCTACAAAGCAAGTTCAAAAGTGGAAGACATGAACAGAAAATGGACAGCAGCATGTTGAACCAGAAAGCACTGAACCCAAACAAAGACTTCAGCAAGTGGCTGACATCAAGCCATTTACTGAAAGTAAGGTATGGTTGCACAGACTCAGCAATAGGCTTGAGCTGGAAACTATAAAAAATTACTTGGAGAGGCTGTACTTGCTAATGAAGAAGCTGTTGTCACATTTCTGGCAATGCTGAACAAGTTGATTAAGGACAAAAGATACTTTCAAAGCAAATTTTCAATTGTAATGATACCAGTGTCTTCTAGAAGAAGATGCCAAATAGAACTTATATTCATAAAGTACAAAGATGGTAACGGGGCAAAAAACATGGAAGGACAGATGAATTCTGATCCTATGTGGCAATGCTGTAGGGCACATGATAAAGACAATATATGGAGTAAAGAACCCACACATTCTCAAAAACAAAGACAAAAATTATCTGCTCATTTTCTACCAACACAGTCAGAAAGTGTGACAGCCATCTTGTTTATGCTTCATCTCAAAAGTGAAAAAATAGAAGGGTTAGAATTTAAAGTCCTATTAACAATACACAATATACTTAGCCATCCTGAATCTGATGTGAAAATGAAATTGCAGACATTGAATTTTTACCTCCAAATACAACCGCACTGCTTCAGCCCTTTGAAGAGTGGGCACTATTCAGTTTGTCAAGGCAACAAATACCCACTTGGTATTTGACAGCAATTGATGTAGACCCTAATTTGGATGTAATGTAGTGCTGGAAATAGTCACTGTTGCACATACAGTAACATTCATGAAAGCCACAATGAATAAATAAAAAACAAAAACCATATAAAGAATTGAGAGTAAAAAAAGAAATTAATTAAAAAAAAGAATTTACAGAGTGAAGTCATGAAGAAACTGAAGCAGAATCAACAATGTGGAGAAAGTGTTTTGAATTGCACATACTTTAAAGTACAGAATAAAATCTTTAGATAGAATATAGCATTGAAGTCACACTATGAACACTGAAAAATTATAACTTCTAAGCAACACTTTGATGAGTTGAAGAGACAGTAACTTCTGATTACAATGTTCTTACAAAAGATTTCTGAAAAAAAAAAAAAAAAACCTACTGGGAACCCCAACCATTGACATCTACTCCTGACACCCAACCTTTAACATTTATATGGCTCAATGATCCAGAATGATTTGAAGTAGATGATCCTCCTTCTGTGGTACTGCCAGAAGATCAAAAGTACCCAAACAATATACCACAATGACCACACCTTTCACCTTAACTTATCTTACCCTGCATACATTATATCATTTCAGATCACAATACAATATTTTGAGAAAGATGTATCAAATAACTTTTATTATAGTATATTACTAAAATATTTATTTTATTACTAGTTATGTGTATTAATCTCTCACTGTGCTTAATTTATCAGTTAAACTTTATCACAGATACATGAATATAGTTCAGTACTATACGAGGCTTCGGGAATTCACCAGGATGACCCTGGAATGCATTCCCCACAGGTAAGGGGGAACGACTGAATTTCTTAGGTCCTAAGCCAGAATGAGATTTCACGCTGGGTTTGAATTCACAGGAATTTTTGTGAAATTAGGACAGTGAGCCCTGAATGAAATAAAGCAAATGAAAAGAAAAAAATTAAAATTATAATATTATTTTCAAAAGGAAGTTTTTCTGCAAGTTATTGCTTATTTTTGCGTTTCAATTTTTAAAAAAAAATCTAAAAGGATTTATACTTGAAAATTAAGCAAATATTATATAGCTCATTTTGACGTGTTCCATCTTTTCTGTACAAACTGCACTATGAGCCATATTCACTGAGGGTAGATTTAGCACTGCTCTCTTTTGGTAGCAAATACTGTTTTTATTAATGAGTTTGTCATCATTAACAGCCTTCAAAATAAATAAAATATATATATATTTAGAAGAAACATTTTTCTCTCTTTTCCTCAAATTTTTTTCTTTTATTACCCTCTACTCTTAAACCCTAGGAATATTTCTAGGGCAGTCCAAATGTCAGCTCAGGAAAAAAGGTCACTTTGCAAGCTCTAGAAGTGGAGGACAGACTTTCAAGGTGGAGGGAAAAAAAATGATAAAATGACTTTTCCTTGATCTTAAGGTCCTGCTTTCACCTGCTTTTCTTTCCCAAACAAAAAAACCAAAAACCATTAAAAGGAAAACAAAATGTATATACTAAGAAAAGAATTTGAAAATAATATCACTAGAGGACATAAAATAGTATGTACAAACAAAAGAGAATTTAGTTATATCTCACAGTCATGATTTTTAGTTTTCTTTGTAAAATTGTCATGAGTTTTGCTATTTGATTATACATACTGCCAGAAATTCTTTAAGACGGTCTTCAATGCTTCCTTTGTGAATTGTAAATAAAGCTGCAGCAATCTGGTTGATGGCTTTGGCCAAGCAATGTATGTTGTTGCAGTGCCCTGAGAAAGTACAAGACAGAGTTTTGTAGATTCTGTGTGATCAGAAAATATCAAGTAACACACAGAAGGCAAGTCTTTAATGACTTCACAATCTACATAAATAGTGGCGTGATTATCAGCAGAGTTGAGGCACAAACTGACTTGTTCTCCTTTTGCTTTCATGAAAACTCTTTCAAAAAATAATGTAGTAAGGGAGCAACAAATAATCATGGCTATGTTACATTAAACAGGCAAATACTTCCAACACTCTCTAAAATAAATCATACATTAGTTTTATTCTATTTGGAAGCTTAAGAAAGAAGTGCTAAGCAGCTTCAAAAACATTTCATCATTCAATCCTTAAAATAATGCTATGATTTCAATACCCCCTCATCTTCCTTTATCATCACACATTCAGCAAGACATGAACTTACTTATACACATATCTTATATGAGAAAACTGGGATTTGCAAAAGGAAAATAGATAGCCCCAGGTAACATTACTAGTAAGGGGAAGAACTTAAATCATTTTATTATAAAAGAACATCAATTACTTATAAAGAAAAGTATATGGCTATACCAAACCAATGATTTTTCTATTGCCCAAACAAATTTAAACCACTATTACCTTCTATAGCAGGGCTATACTGAGACATCACATTACTGGCCAGTGTTGGCAAAGAAACTGCTACAAAGACCATGAGGAGGCAAGCAATTTTATATTCTTCTTCTGGGCTAATGTTTTCTAAGGGAGAAAAGTTATAAAATCAAGCTATTTCTTCAAGATTAGTTAAGAGCTGATAATCTAAACTAGACAAAATAAATTTAACAATTTTTTAATTTAATTATTTAAAATTTGTTGACTCTTACTCAAAAATATCAAAATAAAGTATTTCACTAGAGCTCTATAGAATTGGTCACAATTTTGTCATAAGAGTCATACAATAAAGTAGAAACAATATCTATTATTATACTCAGGCATATTTCAAAGATCATTAATAAAACAGAAAGGCAAGACAATGTGTTTTAATTATAAGATTATAAACCATGCTGGGCACTGGTGCCTATGATCCTAGCTACTTGGGGGACAGAGATTAGAAGGATTCTGGTTTAAGACCAGCATGGCCAAAATAGTTTAAAAGACCCTATGTTGAAAATGCCCAACACAAAAACAGACTGCTGGGGTGGCTCAAATAGTAGAGCTCCTACTTAGTAAACATGAGACCCAGAGTTCAAACCCCAGTACCGCCAAAAAAAAAACCCCCAGAAAAACAAAAAAAAACCTTTATAGGGCAAAAACAATAGGATAACTGAATCTTAAAATTTCTTAATTGAAAACTTATGAGAAAGTATTTTATAAAAAAAACTTATTTACTATAATCTAAAAAGTACATTATTCTGTAAAATTACCAAAAGAAAAAAATCCTTAATTTTTTTCCTAGATATGAATATAATTTAAAATTTACTACCTAAAAGATACAAATATGTTAAGTGGACTGGGTTTCCAATCTGTCCTTTTTAGAAAACAGAAGAAACCAGCCATGGACAAAAATATCTAGCACTGCCCTAAAGTCGTAAGGCAATAACTTTTTCTAGATATTTATCATAATGTGTTCTCAAATTGTGAGTTACCTAAATACCTGACCTCTTACTGGGTACCTAGGAGATTCTAGTTACCCTACTATTCACCAACACATAGAACTATGAATTGAATGTTTAAAAAGCCTTAATACGTTTTTAAAATGTGATTATAAAAAGTAGCTATAGCAAACCAAGCAACAATAATTATCCATATGACTACAATTAATATACTGTATGAATGAAGAAACAAAGTTTTATTGAATGAGAACTGATTTTATTGAATGAGAAGAAAGACCATACTATTGCCTCAAGGGGGCAGAGGAGAGCATTTCAATACCAGAAACCATGAAATGCTATTTATATTGTAGACAAACCTACAATTACCTGGAATACCTAAATATCTGGAGTTTCAAAGGGTTGGCTTTAAAATTCTCTAGATGTTTAATATTATATATAAATTCTTTATGGAGAACAATTCTAGTCAAATTAAAATAGGACATCAATTTTTTTTGCTATCACATGGACCATCTTCTACCAGCATACAAATGCTGTCATCTTCCCCATCTTAAAAAATTCTTCTCTTGGGCTGTACTGCAGTATACAGCACAGGATTAGACCACACTGCTTCTCATGTGCAAGGCCCAGGGTTTGACCCCAGTAACAACAAAAAGAAAAGAACAAAACAAAAAAAACCTTTGTATTTTCTTATAATTCTAGTATTACAATTCTATTTCATTACTCTCCCTTATAAAAAAACTCTTTGACAGAGTTTAGTATAAAACCATAAGTATATATTATCCCCCATTCTTTTCTTTTTATTCACCACTAAGAGCTCTCTAATCAGCCTTTTAGCCATAAAGCTCTACTCACAATGACTTGTCAGCATAACTCATTAATTCTATAAAGCTGATCATTCCCTTTCCACTTTCCTGGAGGCTGTACTTCCCAATTTTCCAACTTTACTGGTCCTTCTAAGTTTACTTTTTGGTGGTTCTTCCTCTTCTCACTGAGCTTTAAAAGCTAAAGTGACTCAAGGTTCAGACTTCGACCCTTTTCACTGCTGCATCTACATACATTATTAGATTCCAGTAACCTCATCCAGTGCGCTGGCGTAGTTATCTTCTGTACGATGGCTATGTCACAACATGAGTTCCAGAAGGCTGGGATCTTTATCTTTTTTGTACTGATGCATTAAAACTACCAAAATATTAATTTAAAAAAGCTTATTACAAAGCAGACATTTGAATAAATGGATAAATACAACCTATCACTATGCTGCTCTGATAATTTTATTAAGAGTATTACATGGTTTTTTTTTTTTTTTTTTGCGGTACTGGGGTTTGACTCAGTGCCTACACCTTGAACCACTTTACCGCCCTTTTTTGTGATGGATTTTTGAGATAGGGTCTCTCAAACTATTTGTCAGGTTGGCTTTGAACTGCAATCCTTCTGATCTCTGCCTCCTGAGCAGCTAGGATTGCAGGCATGAGCCTCTGGCACCCAGCTAAGAGCATTACATTATTTAATAATGCATTTTACCTGATTTTTGTGAGGAAAGAGCTACCACCAAGGCAGGATCAATCTCACAAGGTAATCCAGCAGCTGATGATAACTCATACACATTCATTGCAACCTGATAAAAATACAAAAATGACAAACAGAAATCCTCTAATGAATATCTGAGAAAGTTCCCTTTAGTAGGAATAGATTTGCTGTTCAAATCAGTCTCCTTATATGAAAACTAGAGAATTTCTGAAATTTGGCTGAAACAGGGACTACAGTGTAACTAACCTACATTGAAAAACTGACTTAGTACTCTAATGTGCTGCTTGCTTGCTAGTTATAACTTTCTGCTGTCCGGCCAAACAAAGCCTGTATACTTTGTATTGCAAATCTCAAAAGAATCATTCTAAAGTTACTATTTTCCTTGGAAGCACGGATATAAAATAATGAAGTAAAGAGAGATGAATGAACAAAATGCATCAATAATATTGGACATATGCTTATGATCATAGTTATTTAATGAAAAATTATAGTGATTCAATGGTTAATCATATCTGTAAACATAGTAAATTACTGTAATATTGATACTAACATGATTGCTCACTACTGTAGTTAAAAACTACATATATAACTGGTTACCTCTGATATTCTAATTCAAAAAAACCTCAGAAGTAAAACTATAGCTTATAATAAATGGAAACATGTCATATATTAAATTCTAGATAAACATGTTTGTAATATATTGCTCACTTCACATATAAAAATTAACTCAAAATGGATCACAGATCTAAAATAAATGTGAGAACTAAAACTAAAAAACTCTTAAATTGGAATGCATTGAAACTAAAAACTTTTGTCCATTAGAGGACACCATCAAGAAAATGAAATGACAACTAAATAAATGGGAAAAAATGTGCAAATCATGTATCTATTAATCCTCTCTCCAGGATATATAAAGAATTCTTACATTTCAACAATAAAAAGACACCTAATTTAAAAATAAGCAAAGGTTCTGAATACACATTTCTCTAAAAAAAATATACAAGCAGCAATAAGCACAAGAAAAGAAGTTTAACAACAACAACAAAAAGAAGTTTAACATCATCTGCCATTAAGGAAATGTAAATCAAAACAATGAACTGCTACTTCACACCCACTAGAATGCCTATAATCAAGAAGACACTGCTGGAGGGAATGTAAAATGGTGTATTCACCTTGAATACACTGTTTCAATTCCTGGTAATACACAAGAGAAATGAACATATGTTCAAATAAAAACTGAACATGGATGTTCACAGTATCATTATTTACAATAGCTAAGAAGTGAAAACAACCCAAATGTTCATCAACTGATGCCACAGCTATACAATAAAATGTTATTTAACAATAGTTAAAAAATTAAATACGGATACATGGTATAACATGAGTGAACCTTGAAACTAATATGTTAAGTTAGAAAAGTCGTAAAAACTACTAAACTTTGTATGATTTATATGAAGTGTTCAAAAGGGGCCCTGAGTTCAAACTTCAGTACCACCAAAGAATAAACAAAAAAAAAAAAGAAAAATAATTTTGAGCTATTCAGACGTAGTTTTCAATGATAAAATCATAGGACAATAAATGTTTTTGTTTTTTTTTCTGGAAAGCACAGTACGAAAAATAAACATCTTGGTCTTCCAGATGTTTACAATCTAGTATCAGTGGAAAAAACACAATTACGATAAAAGGCAGGATATGTTCAATTCCACAGCAAATAAACAAAAAATTCTCTAACAATACTAAGGAAAAAATTCTTTTTCACTGGAGAATCTAGGGATAGTTTTAGAAAATGGGCTCTGAAACTGGCCTTGAAAGAGGGTAGTGTTTCAAAAGGCAGAAACAGAAAAAGGCAGTACTTTCAAATAGAATAAATTAAGAGGATAAGAGATTTTTATACAGTTAGCTCAGAGAATATATATAAAGTGAGGCAGAGTAAGAAAAGGAAGTGTAGGAGAAGAAAGGAACAGGTGGTGGAAGATAAGCCTCAAAAAGTTTGAGCAGCACTAGTTTGAAACTCAAGTGTCACAAAAAACTTCACGAATTTTTTTTAGCCATTTCAAGATATGCAGAAATGAAAATAATCTCTCCAAGAAACAGGGAAGCTCTCAAAACACAGATATGGGTTTTGGTACATCATATACTGGATGTATAATCACTACCGCTAAATCCTTGCTGGAATTAGATCAGTGGTTGGATTTCATGGTTCAATAAATTTTAAAAACAGAATAGAAGTATGGCTCAAGTGGCAGAGTGCTTGCCTACTAAACATTGTGCCCTGAGTTCAAAACCTAGTACTGCCAAAACAACAGCAATAACAAAAAAAAATTGTGGATTCACAGAAACCCATCAATCTTCTATCTTATATTTACTAATACTAGCTGGGTATTGTGGTACATATCCAAAATCCCACTATTCAGAAGGCTGAGGCAGGAAGATCAAGAGCTTGAGCCTAGCCTGGGCTACATAGCTAGTTCCAGCTCAGCTTGGACTACACAGTAAGACCCTCTCAAAAAAAAACAAAACAAAAAGATACTTCACATCCTTTTACAGGATGGGGAAATAGCTCGGGATAGAGCCAAGCATGCACAAGGCTCTGGGTTCAGTTTTGATCCCAGAATTGTGAAACAAGTAAGAGACCATTTTAAAAGAAAAAGACCTTTTAATACCTATCGTTAAAACCTGTTCTGAGTGCAGTGGCTCATGCGTATAATCCTAGCTATTTGGGAGGTGGAGATCAGAAGGATTATGGATCGAGGCCAGCACAGGCAAAAAGTCAGCAATATTCCATCTCGATCAAAAAGCAGGGCGTGATGGTGGGTGCCTGTGATATCAGCTATACAGGAAGAATAGGTAGAAAGATCACAGTCTGAGACCACTCTGGGCAAAAACAAGAGACTCTCTCTAAAAAATAACTAAAAGCAAAATAAACAGATATAAATAAATAAATAAGTAACAAAATGGGCCTGGGGCACAACTCAAGTGGAAGCACACCTGCCTAGCAAGCACAGGATCCTGAGTTCAAACCCCAATAACAACCAGAAAACAAAGTAACCTGACTGAATGTAACTGTATTTAAAATAACTCTTAGCTCACTAGTTCATCTTTCTTATTCTACATTATGACCATGTATGAACAGCTATCAGTTTAAAGAAATAATGGCTAATTTTTAACTATTTTTACAACATTGCTACAGGTGATCCAGGAAGATTGACGTTCAAAATGTCTAGGTAGTAGTTTGGTACCACACACTCAAAGTCGCAATTTTAAAGGTAAGCATGTTACTTCTAAAACAGAAACTTTTCAGGTGTTTAGGATTTAGTACATTTGTCTTAAATATTACAGTCGAGAAGCTATAAAATTCAAACAGACGTTACATGATTACCTTCATGTCAGTTTCCCTTGGAATGTGATCCTTGAAATCTTCAATAGAACTTACAAGAAAAGGAATGTGGTAGGATAAAACCTAGAAGGACAACAAATAAAATCAGAATTAGTTTTAAATGGTGACCTCTAAGTTTATGAAATCCTATCATTTGATAAATTCTAGTTTTGTAAAAATTATTTACCTATTTCCATGTGACTTTTCTAAAGGAAGTGGAATGTATTCAATGTTAAACTGGGTATAGTCTAAATGAAAAATTCTTTAATAAATAGCAAAGTTTAAAAGGTAGTGCAAGAGGGTGGGGGTGGGGGAAGGGAGGAGAAATGATCCAACAATGTATGCACATGTGAATAAATGAATTAAAAAAAGAAAAAAAAAAGGTAGTGCAATAACTAAGGCAAGTTTTATCTTCCAAATTTCAATATCAAAAAAAAAAACTTTCTATACATTTTATTTTCTACAAGTAGAAAACTGGAATTTTAATTGTCAACTGTGAATTTCAATTTCTGAAAAATTAAAAAGGATAATGTAGACATAGGGTTATGTACTTATAATGGTTACTTACATCTCTAAGTGCTTCTTGTGCCAATGACCGGAACGATAAAATTACGCCGATTATTGTCATCCTCTTCAAGACACTGTCAACAGCTAAATTTAAAGTAAGGGCAGGATAAAAGAAGAAAAAAAATCATGAACTATATTCTTTCTTAACCTTGGAGAAAACTCTTAAAGTCATAAAATGTCCATGATAAAAATGCATCATTTTAACGGCAATTTCATTCAACAAATGATTAAAGAAGTATTGGTAGCTAATATATAAATTTTGGAAAAAATTATAGTTTATTTAATTCAATATAAAATACTGTTCCTTTAAATGGAATAATATTCAGTGCTGGAGGCATAGCTCAAATGAAGAGTGCTTGCCTAGCAAGCTGGAAGCCCTGGGTTCAATCACCGGTAATGCCAAAAAAAAAAAAAAAAAGCCTCAAATGGTCCAAGAACTTTGAGACACTAAATTGTGAAGTTGTTGTGGTCTTTAATCAAGAAACAAAGGATTATTGCGATCATAAGCAACTTTGGCAGGACCAAACTGTGGAAGCCTGTGAATGGATTTGATCACTTACATATTGGTTAGAGGGTATTATTTTGAAAATTATTATTATACAGTTAATATTCAAACTAGGTTATAAATTCAAGGGAGATTAGGATTGGAAGGGCTAATACCTTCATTACTTTACAAAGCCAAAGTAATATTTATTTCACTCTCCTCATACAAAGTACTGAACTATGTAGAAAGAATGTAAATATAAACAGAATAATGCTCTAAACCTCAAGTAGCAAAGATTCTAAAGGGACTGTTACAAATATGTGATCACATCGATATGAGAGAAAAAATATGTACTCTCCACTTCCTGTATTTTGACTATCCAATTCCTGTTTAAACTCTGACCATAAACATTTTTGTTAAGCCATATATATAAAATCAGGAAAAATGAAAGCTAAATGTGACAAAAACTTTAAAAACAGTATTAACAAAATGATGTAAGACCCAACTACATTTTAAGTTCCACATAGGAAAAACCAATCTCATTAATCTTTTTGTCGATCTGTAACACTCAACAGGGTGCCCGATAAATAGCAAATTAGCAGATGTTCCAGGACATGGCAGCATCAGACTAGAAAATAATTACTAATCAGAGAAGGAACAAAATGAAAGTGAAAAAATAAGAGAGAAAGATTTCTCTAAGAAAATATTATCCAAGTTAAGCATAAAGGAGAAGTAGGAAAAGAAAGGCATTCCAGGTAAATCCATAAAAGGAACAATGAGAAATAATGTGAAGAATCAGAAAATGGTAAGTAATGTGATAGTCATATATTTTCCAAAGGATAGGTATTACCCAGAATTGAATCAAGTAAGTGTGCAAAAACTTATCCTACAACCTCCTCTTGAATACATACAATAATGACACATTAAAAGTTCTAAAAAGCCAGCACCAGTGGTTCACACCTGAAATCCTAGCTGTATGGGAGGCTGAGATCAGGAGGATTGCAGTTTGAGGCTAGCCTGGGTAAATAGTTCGTGAGAACACATCTCCAAAATAACCAGAGCAAAAGTGAATGGAGGTGTGGCTCAAATGTTAAGAGTGCCTGCTATTTACAAGAGTGAAGTACTGAGTTCAAATCCCAGTCCCATCAGAGGGAAAAAAAGTTCTAAAAAATATTATTTAGTGATTTATTTGCTAAATCTATTTGACCACTGGCACTCTCCTTATTCTGCATAACTTCCATTAACTTCCCAAGGAACTAATACTAACTAGAGCGAGGCTATGTTGGCCTGGGGCCTGACAAGCAACAGGTCGTAAAGGAAAATATAAGACTGATTCAAAAACACCATGCCACAGAGTTTATAGTATCCTTAAGAATTAGGGGATTGTTCAGGGTTTTTGAAATATACAGATATGTGAAAAGAGAGGTGTTTAGAATATGACTCTCAATATAAGTCAGAAATGGAAAACCATATGCATATTAAGAATCCATTTGTGGTTCACAAAAAGATAATGAAGCCACTAACAAGCGGCATAGGAATAGAAAGCAATAAATCTGGCCCATGACATTTAGGAGGTTAAGATCTGTAGCAGGAGCTTTAAGTTCAAATGCTTACAGCAGGTAACAAAATAGTGAAGTAAACTGGGTAAAAGATAGTAAAAATTTCTTAAGGGGGCAATTGCTACATAGCTCCAGCCAATCACTATCATGTGGAAGAAGCCAGAAATTTGGATTTTTTATGTGAAATTTCCCATTTAAAAAACAATGAATAAAGAGGGAATTAAAAAAAATTATTGCAGGCATGGGGCCAAACAAAGTATGTCTTTGGGCAAAATGTGACCCACCAATTTGCAAAATCTGATCTACAACATATAGCTACTGCATGTGCAATGTGAGATGAAGAATTAGAGAGAATATGAAATGGTTCATAAAGAAAGAACATCAGGCTTTTTCTCTCCATCTACTTGTACCTTCCATAAGAGAACAATATCTCCCATTCCGGAGATGCTATAAAGTATCTAGGAGTCATAAAGTTGAAAATGTCTAAAGTAATGTTTCTTAAACTGGCTTGTTAAAACATAGGTTGCTGGGTCCAATCCCCAGTTTCTAATTCAGTAGGTCTGGGGTGTAGCCCAATAATTTGTATTCTTAACAAGCTCCCAGGTGGATTGATCCATGGATCCTACTTTGAGATGTGCTGGTCAAACTTTCACTTGGTGTTTAAACATATGTAGATCAACAGAAAGTTAGGCTCAGGATGAATATTTAAGATTCATCCCAACAAGCTTATAGGATAAGAATGAAAGTACAGGATATCACAAACTGACACTATGTAAAAGATGAGCCAATAAAAATGACTAAGGAAGAGTAGAGGTAAATATTTTGGCAAATGAAGAATAAAACTTCTAACCAAAATTTATAGTCCAAAATGGATAAATAAGTAATGAGGAGGATGATCAGGAAAGCAGACAACACAGTTTCAGGGAGTCAGATAAGAACTTCAACAGGAAAAAAGGAATGGGAAAGCTAGAACACATGGTTATGGTCTGAAAATGGGAGTTTCAATGATCAAGATTTTTACTGTGGGAACAGTTTTGGGAAATCCTGCTAAAGTAAAGGTCTCTGAAGCAACTTGTGGTGGCAAGAGGACAAAAGTGAACCGAATGAGTTTTTAAAAAGGAAGAATTACTGTAGGAAGCTCGAAAATAAAGGTCTGGAATCAAGGAGACAATAAAGTGATGAACTTGGCTCTAAGAATAAGTATCAGACATTACTAAGTAAGGAATATGGACATTATGAGATTTGTTTAAGTCACACAGGAAGCCCTAAAAATAAAAACAAATTCCAGATTGCCTCCTAATCCAGAGCTACTCTTAATAAATTATAATACTTTATTTTTTTAAGAGAATGTGAAATAAAACTCCCACAAAAATACAGAGACTTCTGAAGCGTAAGAAAGGACTGAAGATAAAAGAGAGCATTTTGGACACACCTGAACTGAAAGAGTAGTCTTCTCTACACCTCAGTCTCAAGTGGGCCATTTCTTTTTCACACACAAAAAGATTTAATAAATTCTATTTAAAGACAAATTTGATAAATAAGGGTAATCAAGATTTAAGAATTTAGATTTTGGTTCTGGAAAATCCCAAAGTCATGAATCAGCACTATTACACACAAAATTCAAGTAAGGAGAAACTAGACAAAGGACTCTGGATTTTATTTTGAAAACATGAAAATTATCTTTAGAACTTTAACAAATTCCATTTTGTTTCAACTACACAAATAGAAGAGTTTACTAAATAGGTACCAGACATTTCAGTGTATTAGTTGCTTCTAACCAATGTTAGAAGTCCAAGCTTGCTTATTAATAGGAAAGTTAAGTATGGTTAAGGCTAGTAAGGCGGCCTGATGACTATTAAAAATGAGAAAAACATTTAAAAAATAAGAATAAAAGACTATAAAAATATAAATATAGTAAAACTAAAAAAAGATTAAAAAATGGTTTTCTATTTACTCACACTCTTTTCTCCTATAACACTATCAAGTCATTCTTTTTCATGTTCCATCATCTACCAAAATTCTCTCCTTTCTTTTCCCTTTGTAGTCCTGGCAAGTACCGAACCATTCTAAAAGTCAATCTTTTTACTGCATTTTAATCATATGCTAATTCTTACTGAGTTTTTCAAATTTTTTTTCTATTTGTTTTTCTTTTCTTTTGAGTTTTTATTTTTTAAAGCAGGGTAAGTAATACAGGCTAACAAAATGATTCTTTGAAGGATTTAAAAGAAAAATATCACAAGGAAAATATATAAAATACATGCATTTCTTTAATTTTCTTTGGATGACGATGATTATTAGTGCTGGGGATTGAACCAAGGGTCTAGCATATGTTCACGCTACCACTGAAATATACAACCCCAGTCCTGGGATTATTTTTCATTTAGGAAAATAAATTCTTTCCCTGGTTTCTCTAGTGCAAAAAAGACTTTATTAAGGATCTCACTTATTTTTCAGTATTGGCAAGAATTTTAAAGTAGTCAATAAAGTATACCATCCACAATTAGTGTCAAGAAGACAGTTAAAGTAATTTTTTTAAGTTACATGCTCAGATTTTCATGCAACAGAACAAAATTACTGAATTGGTCAGTATATATTCAGCAATTTTACTGATGGATCAATCTCAAAAACACTATGCTAAGTGTGAGAAGCTAGACACAACTTCTATTTATAGTGATCCAGATGAGATCAGTAGTGGTTATCTAGGTTTGGGGGATGAACACTGACTACTAAGCGAGGAAACAATTTTCTGAGGTAACGGGACTGCTGTATATCTTGATCTGTGGTTACATAGATGTTGTCAATATCTACCACATTACTTAAGTGTGTCCATTTCATCATATATAAATTAGACTTCAATAAAGTTGAAGTTTAGAAATTTATAGGCTCAGAAACAAATTCTACCTTAGTCTAAATTAATGTAGATTTACTGTATCAAATTTAATGGGTTCAAGAACCAATTAATAATGACAATATTCATTAACTGACATATTAAAAATATAATCTAAAAATTCTGGTAACAGATATGCTGTACACTGAAAAGATCCTTTGACTACAAAAAATTTCTACTTCTCTTCATTCTTTAAAGTATTTTTGCTGTTTGTATTTATGTCACAAAATTTGGGCAAAAGTTAAATAGTGAGTGTCAATACCTACTTAATGCTTATGAGAAGTATTATGAGTTACTCACAGGATAATCTTTTAAAGAGTGCAGCCATCTGGTCTGGTTTGTCAAAACTGGTCCTCATTTGTGTTAGCACATCAACATTCTCCACCACAAGTTTCTAAAATAAAAAAAAAAGAACATGGATCAGGCACAGACTTCCTTGTGTTAATGAGATAAGAGCATGCTTAGAAATTACAATCTGGCAATTGGGAAACACAATTCATGACATCCAGATGCTCTATACTATATATTTTTGTTGTTTCAATAAAATAATCTTACACAGGATTAATGCTTTTCATCAGTTTGCACATTCAAGAAGAGTTCAGGAAAAAGCAACAAGGTAGTAACATAAAAAGTCATCTTACCCTTAGATACTTAACAGTATAAATAATAATAAGCAGACACTAAAGTGGATAGACAAAGCAATATATTCCACTCAAAATCAAAAGAAATTGCAAAAGCTGTAACTGGACAAGATAGGACAGAGTTTGTCTAGATAATGAGAACACCACTAGATAAGAACAGGAAGAAAATAACTTGTTAGGATATGGTACCACTTGATAGGGATTACATTAAAGCAATGCTTCCTGGAATAAATTATAAAATGGAAGTCTAAACTATCTAGTTTTCTTTTATAGACCACCAAGAAAAGGAAAGAAAAAAGAAGAGATATAAGAGAAGGAAGTGAAGGACAGCTATTCAAAGAAAAGTATAACTCATTAAGGAATGTTTTTCTTAAATATGGCATTGGAAAAACAATTTCATTAAAAATTTTTAATGAAAACAAATAGAATTAATTTTACTTCGGTAGAGACAAGCCTGGACAACAAGCTGAGTTTGTAAAACAATCAGGAAGGAAGTGGGTAAGACATTTTACTCTGTTACATATGCCATACTCTTTAGAACAAAATTAGTCACCAGCACACTTGTCTAGTCATTTCATAATTCCAATGAATTTATGATTTAATTTCTGATCTCTAGAAAGTCTTTTACACCAGAATTTTATTTACTTTCCCTGTCTATAGTGATTGTCAGCCTTTATTACACATTACAATCACCTATGGAGCTCTTTCTAAAAATATATCCAAGCCTCATGTCTAGATTATTTCAATTCAGCAGACCAAGATGGGAAGATGTATGGTTATAGTACCATGGTGGTTTTGTTACATACAAAAGGTTGATGACAAGTGACTTAAGGGAAACATGAAAAACTATACAGATACAAAAATCATTTTTTCTAAAACACTAATATGAATTTTGTTTTGGGTGCTTTCTGATCTTATTCTAGTTGAACTCCTAACCATATGTTCAGTTCTAGTCACGTTTATTTAATAATCTCAATTCTATAGCCTTTAATAAGACTGCTCCCTTTTTCTGAGCCACTTCAACACTGTCTCTACCTAAAGCTTGATTCAATACACAGGCAATGGGCTCAGTGGTAGAGCACTTGCCTAGAAAATGATCCCCAGCACTAGAGGAAATAAACAAACAAAAAAAGCGAATACACACTCAATCTGTACAACTAACCACATTAGTCTTCATGAAGTTTAACACAATATCATAAGTTAGTAAGTCAAAGACATCACTGAATTGAAAATGCACCTTATTTTATGTGCTGCTAAGAAAAAAAACTATGAATACTATGATATATAAAATTTCAGAAATATCTACTAGATAAATGTGTCTTACAATTAATAAATTACATTATATATTAAATGGAAAGAATTAACTACAACCATTTATGACAATTTACAAATAAGTACATTTATTATAACCCAAATGAGATTTCGATACCATTACCCTAAAGTATTTGTTGGCATGTTGTTCTTTTAAAAAAGTTAATTGTACTTCTTGAAAATTTATACTTCATGAAAGTATAGTTTACATACTTAATTTTTTCCCATTTCTTCTTCAATTACATCCTAAAATAGGACTCTTTATACATTTAAATTCAGTGATTAATTTTTTTTTGGTGATTTGCTTAGAATTTATTATTTTTTTCTTTTATTATTCATATGTGCATACAAGGCTTGGGTCATTTCTCCCCCCTGCCCCCAGAGAATGAAAGCTGGGAGTAGTAACAGAAAGTATAAATGCAATGGCTTTGAACAAAGTGAGACAAATCAAGTGAAACAAATTGAGTTTATTTAAATTTTTAATTAATATTGTGTTAAAAAGAAAGTATTAACTTCTTGGCATAATTTACATTTAAATTTCATGTCTTTTAGGACCACACAAAGAACTAGAACTGATCTGCAAAATGCCAAAATAATTCCTTTGGCAGGATTAGAGGAAGTTGACTCAATAGGCACAACTCCAAATGAAATACCCAAGAATTTTTAGCAGGAAAGAAGATGGGTTCTTATTGTCCAGAAAGTAGTAAATATGCTTTACCATAAGTATACATGCATAGTGTTGACTATGTCTGACACGTGATTTATTTACAACCATCAAATATAAAGCAGCTCTGATTTTTTTTGTTGGTAAAAACGTACTCATTGAAACAAAGAGGTCCTCAGTAAAGCAGGAACTAAAATAATTAAGTTCACCTTTAAGATAAAAAGATTCAGTTACATGGTATTTAGTTTATGTCAGTTTAACTACATTTTTAAAAACAGAAATAAAAGCAAAGATGTCATAATGATCTTAAAAATATAATTATACCCCCAGACATTTTATGCATTTGTTTCAGAAAGACTAAAATTCTCTTAGCAGTATCATAATGTTCTGCTAGGGAGTATGAGCTGCTAGCTTTTTAGAGGGCTATTTGTTAATACCAAAACCACTTGAATTATTTATACCCTTTGATCTACTTTCAGAAATTTTTCCTACAGAAATGCTCAAATATTTTGTACACTTTGTGGAAGCACTGGTTAGGTGTATGGAATTCATACATACGCCTAAAGCCCTGCTCTTTTCAGATATCCAGTAAATTTAGAATAATTTTTTAAAAGGCATAAAATTACAGTAACAAAGAAACAGTAGTGGAAACTAGGCCAAATGAGGAACATCAACAAAGTGCTGGAAGAAGAAACTGGAGCAAAGAATAAGAAGAGGTGAGAAATTTGATTATCAAGTACCTGTGGAAGGGATACAATGTATAAGAAAGTTAATTCATGCTTCAGGATACTGGAAGGGATCAGAAACTGAAGGCAGTGGCATGGAAAGGAAGGTTTAGGAAGGCTTGAGACTGAAAATGAAGATTATTACACATCTGTATGGGTAGAAGTGAGCTGCATTCCAAACTCATCGCCATTTTTAGGAGTGCTGCCAACAAGGAGGGCTCTAAATACAAAAACAGAAGGAGGCAGGAGAGAGAATGATTTAAGAATCATGGCAGCCACCCAGCTGTAGAAACCTCTACTATCTCCAACAGATTATACTGTCCAACTAAATGTTCACTGTGCTTGAACATTATTTGTAGGAATCACTGGAAGCTTAGGATGAAGATACCTTTCTGCAAGAAGGATTTGTGTTAGCTTCTGCCAAGAACCTTCCATACCCTATTGAAGGTTTAGGACTTAAGGTTCCTTAAACAAAGCACCAGTACCAACATAAAGAAGGTTGCAAATCCTAGAGAGTTGAATCATTTCCAGTTTAAGTTAAAACCCTTTGAGGAATCTATATTAAAAAGGCTGGCAAGGATTTAAACAGACTACCTTCATTGGGTAGGTTTTTGATTTTGATTACTAACCCCTTCTCTCATAAGGCCACCAAAACTAAGCACAATTTTATGTATTACTTTTTTGGGGCAGTACTGGGGTTTCAGCTCAGGGCCCGGAATTTGCTAGGCAGGTACTTTACCACTTGAGCCATGCCTCCAATCCTTTTTGCCTTAGGTTATTTCTCAGATACAACCTTGTATATTTTACCTGGCTGGCTCAGACCACAATCTTCCTATCCATGCTTCCTGCATAGCTGGGATCACAGGCACATGCAAACCTTATTTGTTGAGATGAAGTCTTACTAACTTTTTGCTCAGGCTGGCCTCAAACAATGCCTTCCAAGGCGCTGGGGTTAAGATGTGTACCACCATGTCCAGCTTGTTCTGAGATAGGGTCCAGTTAACTTTTTTGCATGGATTGGCCTTGAACCACAATCTCCCTATCTCTGCTTCCTAAGTAGCTGTGATTACAGGTGGAAGCTACCATGCTTGACTCTTAAATTACACATTTTTTAAAAGTCTTTTTTATGAGTAATATTAAATCATTAATAAAATGAAAAGTTAGGTGAAGTAAGGAAGATCACATAGGAGATTTCTAAAATCAAGTGTTTTAGGAAAAAGTGTTTTATAATCTAAGACATCTGGAGTTTAGAGCATAATAATTTTAAGGAAAACCCCAGCTAATTCATACCCATTTATCTCAAAGACAACAAATGTAAGCTTTTACCTTGTATATGTTGTAGACTCAGGTTTAACATCAAATATTTTAAAAAGAATACAGATAAGAAACAACACTTGAGTCAGAGAATTCAGTAGCACTTAAAATGTCAACATTATTTATACTATTACTACATCAACTCTAAATCAAATTTTAATAATACCTGAGAAAGAGAGAATAGGTCACTCCAAGATATGAGAGAAATATTAAAACATAATCTCTTTCCATTTCTTTTAAAAATGTATTTCATAACATTAGTACCTAGAATGCAACTAAAACAGTTAAGTCTATTAAAAAAAATTGCTTCAGACTATAAGATCTGTAATAATTAAAAAAAAAAATCCTGGTTGATGTAGTGATTCATGCCTGTAATCCCAGCACTCTGTGGCAGGGGGATCACAAATTCAAAGCTGGCCTAGACTATATAAGACTGTCTCAAAAGAAGAAAAATTAAAGAAAAAACCTTGGAATTATGGACATCTGAAAATATAAATTCTACTACTAAGAATAACTATGAAGCATACACTTAGGTTTAAAAAAAAATTGAAGGACTGGAGGCACAGCTCATGTGATAGAGTGTTTGCCTAGCAGTACATGGCCCTGAGATCAATCTCCAGTACTGCCAAAACAAAAACTCTAAAAAGGGAATACAAAATATAAAATGTGAAAAGGTACATTTAAGGTTGAAAATTTATCTGATTGAAAGTTGCTATGAGAACTATATGGTATAGCTTCATAAAATTTAATGCAATCTCTTCTTTTTTTGAGAGGGGCACTATTGGGGATTAGACCCAGGGCATTGTGCCTGCTTAGACAAATGCTTTACTACTTGACCCATGCCCCAGTCCTTCTGTTTCTTATTTTGTTTTTCATACAGGGTCTTGTACTTTTGCCTGGACTGGCCTTGGATCCCAATCATCCTACCTATGCATCCTGCCTAGCTGGGATTACAAAGACGTGCAGTACCACACACAGCTTGTTTTTTGAGCTAAGATACTGCTAACTTTTTTTGCCAAGACTGGCCTCAAATCACAGTCCTATCTCCATCTCCCAAGCAGCTGGCATTACAGGCATGTAACCCAATAACGCTATCTGAAACTGTATCAGTAAGTACATGAACCAGAGTAAGTAAATGTACCCTCACACTAACCAGACTTCTATCTGAAACTTATTCTCAGTTCAGGATACACTTCTATAAGCACAACACCATGACAAGAGACTACAATATAGAGGAAAGGTATAACAGAAAAGTTTCTGTAAAAAATTAAACATAGAACTACCATGTGATCTAGCAGCTCCACTACTGGGTATATATTTCCAAAGGAAATGAAATCGGCATGCTGGAGACATCTCCACTGTCATGTTCACTGACGCACTACTTACAATAGCTAAGAAATGGGAAACAAATTAAGTGCCTATCAAGTCAGTGAATGGATAAAAAAAAGTACCACATACACAATAGAGTATTACTCAGCCACATGAAAGGATGAAATCCTGTCAATTTGCCAACAAAATGTATGGAACTAGAAATCAAATCTATTAAGTGAAATAGGCCAGATATAGAAAGACAAATACTGCATGACTTTGATTATATGTAAAATCTAAAAAAACAAAAATTGCTTGATCTCATACAAATTCACAGTAGGACGATGATTAGGAAAGCAGAGTAAGAGTAGAAGGGAGGGATGGGTAACAGTTATTCAGTGGGTACTGAGGTATCGTTAAATAGGACAAATAAATTTTGGTGTTCTAAATTTGTACAGTAGGATAAGTACAGATGATGAGAATGAATGTGCTGTATATTTCATAAGGATTCTGAATGTTTTCTCCATAAAGAAATGATAAATGTTTTAGTAGACGATGTTTACCCTTGACCATTACATTATGTGTACATGTACTGAAACACTGAATAGTACCCCATAAATACGTACAATCTTTGCATCAATTACAAGATACTGACACAACATAACTAGAGATATGCATGATGATTCTTCATTTTCAAAAAGACCAGATCTTCCAACTAGAAAAATGTAACTTATTCTCCACTCAGCTAGGTTAGATGACTGCTGAGATCAGACTTCTTTAGGTTCTGGAGGTTGGATAGCCTGGTACTAGAATAAGCTCCACAGCTAGATTAATGCTACATGGATTCAGGGGCTGGTAGAGTGGCTCAAGTGGTAGAGCAGCTGCCTGGCAAGGGGAGGCCCTGAGTTCAAACCCCAGTTACACACCCACTCATGGGTTTAAATTTTGTTTTCAATACTTATTAACGATTTAAGTCTGAGAAGTTACTTAATCTTTCTTGGCCTTACCTTTCTGTTTTAAGGATTTAAAGAAGTTAATAATACATATGAAGACCTTAGAAAAAGTTCTAGAACGCTTTAAAATAGAATCCAGAAAACTAGCAATTTTTTATTTCTGCACCCAGCAAATATTTATAAAATGCCTCCTTGTTTTGGACCATATTTTAGCACCAAAGTTTTAAGACTTACATTTACATTCTGGTGAGTGACATAAACAAACACACCACATGGGAGCTCACAAGAAAGATACACATACAGCAGGACAGAGAGAATAAGAAATGATGTTTGTTATTCTATGAAGTATGCTTAGAGAAAGACATTCTGCTATGGAGATATTTCAAAAATACATGAATATGGTAATTCCTCAGTGCAGATATTCTGAGATGATACAAGAGCAAGCAGGCCAGGCAGGCTGGAGGAATTAAGGAGATGAGGAAAAGTGGAAGGCCAGATTCTTCCAGGGTCTTGCAGTACTGTTTAAGAATGTAGGCAACCAGGTGCTGGTGGCTCACGTCTATAATCCTAGCTACTCAGAAGGCAGATATCAGGAGAATCTGATTCAAAGCCTGCTTGGGCAAATAGTTCGAAAGACCCTATCTCAAAAAAACACTTCACAAAAAAAGGGCTGGTGGAGTGACTCAACAGTGTAGGCCCTGAGTTCAAACCCCAGAACTGTAAAAAAACAAAAAAGAATGTTTGAATGCCAATTCAATGTTTGAATGTGGCATCACCGGGAAGGATTGAGAGCAAGGCCAGCTTGGGATACATAATTAGAGCCTTCTCAAAAAAAAAAAAAAAGAATGCTTGGACTTGAAGAGTTAGAGAAGTAAATCAGTGGTAGAGCACTTGCCTACAATGCACAAGGCTCTGATTTGATCCCCCACACTACAAAAAGTAAAGAGGAAAAGAATATTTGAACTCTGACAGATGTGAATTCAGAGATCTAAACTGAACCATAATTCTATTATACCAAAATGAATACCAGAAAAAAATTTGATGCTTGTTGAGAACACTGTAAAATCATTTATATATTAAAGGGGAATGAGTATAATAAAGAACCAAAGCTCACATTACAAAGTTTGTGTATTAAAAAAAATCAAATAAAATTTGTCATTAAAACCCACATTAGATACACTAAGGTTCTAATCATTACCTCTTGCTGCTTTACTTCCTTAGCAAATATTATTAAGCTTGTGAGAACTAACTTACTCTATATATCTGCTTAACTTTCAGAAAATCAGATTACCACATTTAGAACTATGCAAGTTATATACAATGTATTATATACACTTTTCTTAAGAAATTAAAAATGCAAGCCACAAATAACCACCCAAAAAACTTTCACAAAGTAAAAGGTATATTTGAAAATGTCCCTTTTCTGGTCTGTTAAGTATCAAAAGTTTTAGTGGCCCAAATTCAAAATTCTTTCAAAAACTACAGTTCTTGTACATACAGACTTGTTCAATATAAACTACCTTAAAGGTTAAAAGAAAAAGTTACTTAAAATTGAGTGGAGGGTAAATATGGTGGAAATATTATGTATTTATGTATGAAAATGGAAAAATGAAACCTGCTGAAATGATTCCAGGAATGGGAGGAAGGGCAATAAAGGAGAATGATGGAGGGATTGAATTCAACTATGATATTTTAAGAACTTTGGTAAATTTCACAGTGTACCCCCAGTACAACAATAATAAAATAAAATTTAAAAATTTATTAACCTATATGTCTTTACTTAAGCATTAAACATTCTAAAGATATTCTGCACCCAGCTTAAACAGTTTAAGATGATAATAAGAAAAAGCACTAAGCTGGGGATGTGTGTCAGTGGTAGAGCCCTTGCCTAGCATGTGACAGGCCTTGGGTAATTCTCTAACAGTACAAACAAAACAACAAAAAAACCCACTAAGCCTAAAAATGTTTACATCTTTGAAAAGCAAAACATACGTAGAGGAGTAAAAAACTTTGGCTAAAATTTTGAACTTCATCATTCAAAGAGAAATATGCAACAGAATAAAGCCTTGACTAAAAAAGCCAAGAAATGAGTTTCAGTACTCTTTTGGGCAAGTTAATTCACCTCTTTAGGCTTCCTGTTTTCTCACCTACAAAATAGAGATAATTAAACTAATATGCTATTGAAAGGCTCTGTTCACTCTTTAATTTCATTTACATGGTACTATTTTCATGCCAGGTTAAAGTAACTAACACTGTAGGCTTGCTGTTCACATTCTTGAAATGTTTTTCAGAAATTAATGCTTAAAAGGCAAAACTGATTTTGGACTGAGGGAGGAGGATCACAAATTCAAGGCCATCCTGATTAACCTTACCAAAATCCTGTCTCAAAAAAAGGACTACAGATGTAGCTCAGTGGTAGAGTACTCACCTACCTCATATGGCAAGGCATGATATGGCTCTGTGTTTAATCCCCAACACTGCCATCCCATCCCAAAAAACCCAACCAAGATAAGACTGAAAAAGCTATTACCTTAAGCTCAGCAACTTGTGATGAAATATGCCACATAAGGCTCTCACTTAGAAACTTCATACCATATGGGCCTAGTAGTTCTGATAAAGATCTCATTTCTGAAAGAAAATGTAACTAATTTTATGCTTTTGACAGTACAAATAAGAAAATAAACATTAACACAATGGAATATGTCATTACAGAAACAAATTATTAATATAAAATCCTGAGGAAAGTCTCTGTAATAAAAGATACCATGAAATACTGAAGTATTTCTAAGATAGACTGTGTGATTATGCACAAAATTAAATGAAAACAGTCACAAGAGAAGCAAGAGCCAAAAAGAATCAAGACAAATCAAGTTTGCAAACAGAACAATCAAGTTTTCTTCATTCTCTAGACCATGTTACAGAATTATTCACCTGATATGTCAGAATATTCTTCTGCATTGAATGTTAATTCATTTTCTGTAGGTAAATTCACAAAGGCTTTCATTGCAGGGAAATAAGCTATATGGCCATTGCTGACTTGTCTTAGCAAAGTTTCCAAATACCTAAAGAGAAAAGTAATTTGTAACTGGGAGAAATGGCTTAATTCAAAATTTATTATGGTGTACACCTGCATAGAAATTTAAGTTGACTGATAACATGAATAAGCACTTATCCATAAGAAATTAGTTTTCCTAAGTAGTTCATTATAAAAAAAAAACTTTCTATAACTCCAAATTTCTAAATGTGTTCCTTACCAATTTGTGTACAGACTTGTAATGGTTGGTTCTCCATGACTGTCCAAATGTTGTGTTTGTTGAAGAAGAACATTATTAAATACTCTTGTAATATCAATCTGCACATAGTTTTCTATTGACTGCAGTACAGTCATATATGCTCTTACACTTGTTAGGAGCTCTGACGGTTTTGCAATTTCTTGTGTGGCTTGATTATACATAGTCATCCCAACAATTGATCTGGGGGAGAAAATAATTAAAGAGATGACTTTTCCATGTTCATAAACAATTCATTCAACGTATTTGATATTCAATAGTAAATAAGCAATAAAATTAATTTTTTTAAATTAATTTTACAAAGCCATGAAATTACAACCATCATTATGATTCCAATAACCTAAAAACAGAATTACCTAAAAAACAATGAAATGAGAATACAGATAATAAAAAACATTCTAAGAACATCAGCAATGAAATGACTTAAGCATTTATGCTTAAAAACTGCTCTAAAAACTATGCTTTAAAAATTCCTTAACATGGGGGGGAGAAAGGACCCAAACAATGTATGCACATGTGAATAAAAGAATAATTTAAAAAATTACTTAACATGGTAAATTATAGCAAGGACAATAAGTTGTCTACTTAGCTTGAATTCATTTGGGACTGTTGCCAAGACTTTTTTAGGTTTTATGTAAATTAATACAATCCTCATATTTCATAATGAGATTATTAACACCATGATTTCACAAGTGAAAACACAAAAACAAAAAACTAAGGTTCAGAAACAAGTGAAGTGAAAAATGTCACTTTGTTTGAAAGTGGTCTAAGACCCCAAGTCTGCCTTAGTGTTGTCTCTTAACAAACTGCATGACAGTCAAAGCAATGAAACAAACTTTATTCTTTAATCCCTCATAGCACATTAAAACAAAACTTTGCTGGTGTCCTAAGAAACTGTAAGGCTAAAAAAAAAGAAACATAAATTTGAAAATATCTCCCTAAATGATCTTTTTCTACAGTGGTCATTCGTATTTCATTTTCATTAAGGCTCCTTTGAGTATCGGATATGTAAACATTTTTTTTTAACTTCTATTTATAAAGATGAATCCTTTAAAAAAATAGACAAATCCCATCAATAGACATGGGGCCAGACAAGACAACTCAATATGAAAACTGTTACCCTTGTATATAGCCCGAATCCAAAGACTGCTCAAGAAATTAAGAAAAAAAAAATCAACCCATTAATATGCACAAGTTATTTACTAAGCAGAAGTTTGGTAAAAAAGAACATTTGCTTTTCCACAGATTATGGACCAGACTTGTTTATAGAACGAGAACAAGGGAGCTATAAACCTATCAATATGCCATTCCCACCCAATAAATATAGAAGGCCTAGTGTCTAACTACAAGGGCATTTCAAGTTTTACTGTCAGGATGCCTGCTTTACTAAGGAGAGCAAAACAGTCTTTGTTCAACACCAACCTTTTCACTCATCAACTGATGATTTATTTAACACTCAATTTAGTGCCCATTTACATACTGTCCTATTTTGTTCTCTTACTGCTGTTGTCTTCCTTCACAACCAACTAAAGATCTAAGCTTTTTATTATTTCCTTACTACTGACAGTACTTAATTTCATGTTAAGCATATGATAAATATAAATATTACTCATTAATGACCACAGAAACTTTGGAAAACCTTTAGCAAAATTTTGTTTTACAAATTGCTTTCAATTTATAAATTTTTTTCAGGAAAAAATTGTCAAATTAACACTTTCTTTGATAAATATGCAACTTTACAAAAAGTTTGAAGCAACATTTATAAAAGTGAGGGGGTTCTGACTTGTCACATACAAGATCGTTTTGGGAAGTACATATGTAACTTGCAAAATTCTAATTAGAAGTGAGTCCTCAAGAGAGTGGAATTCTACTGACGTACAGCATACATTTGAATTCAGAAAAAAATGAGTTCATGCAGTCCTGACATCTGACTGTGACTTACTATAAGGTGTATCTAAAAGCACAATTCAGCACGTACATACATATACATGACTGCAGAGTTTCAAGAAGCAACAGCTATACAGTAAGCCTGCCTTAGTCATAAATTTATTACACATGGTTTTGACCAATTATAGTAAAAAAAAATGTTTTAATTCCCACCCACACATTACACAGTTCAGTTGAAACAGAGAAGTTCTCAGTCCTGCATTACCCTTGGTTGTACTTAAATCATTATATGCTCTGCTTAGTGTTTCTTTTCCCTTACTCTTATAAAATTAAGCTTCCCCAAAAGCAAATGGTGGCCCCCAAAACAAGGGAAAAACTAATGTGCTTAATTTAAGTGATAAAGGGTCTACTGTTCTTGTTACACAAAATGCATTTTTCTCCCCTCTCATTTCTTCTTCCTCTTTCCCTTCCACTTCTTTCTTCAAGTATTGATTACAACCTAGTAAACTGATTTCATAAACTTTTAGATTGCCACCTGCAAGCTGAAATAGACTGATTTTCTCCAATCTTCTCATTTTGCATATAAGAAAGCTAAGATTCAGAAAAACTAACTTAATTGGCCAATGTTACTAGTTAATAGTAATATGTATGGAAATAGAATTTGGGTAATTAACTAAATCTCCATTCACTATTTTTCATACTTCCTAGTCCATTATTCTTCCTACTGTGCCAGTTCTAATAATGCTTTTCCTCATAAAAGGAAACACTGTATAGGTATCAATAATTAATACAGCAAATTCATTAACTGAACCAACGAATGAATAAATTCTTACTTAGTAAAGCGGATTTCCAGATGAGAAGTCAAATATTCCCGTGGTGTAAAGGTATGCTCCCAAACCACCATGTTTGGTACATAATTTATAGAGAAACATAACTCAGAAAGTGCAGTGTGCAATTTATCAAGGCTGAAAAAAATTAATAAACAGTATATAAAATGTATGACATTTCATCATAGGCAATACAAAATTTTATAATCATATCAGATGTTATGTAGAGATGTTATTGCAGAATTTGATTTTTTTTCTTTTAAAATGTTAGTTCAAAATCATTATGGGTATAACTAACTTATGAGGGCAATTTTAAAAAGAAAGGATCATTCATTTCTATATTCAGCTAATGATGACTATATTGAGCTGATATAAATTAGGAAGGGCTTATTCTACATTCAAAGACAATCATTTCCTATTGCTACTGCAATTTGTTACTAGAGAAGGAACATTTGTTTACAAAATGACAATGTTTTTTCAACTTAGGAAGTAGGAAACTTAAGCAAAAAGTATTTACACAATTACTATCCACCTATGTCTGCCTTCCAAACAAACAAGTAAACAAAGAGCCCTGAATGCTGCCTAATCTAGTATTTTTGTTTTGAAACAATGATATCAGATTTGTTGTAATATATCACAGCATACCAAAATAAAGTCTCAGTTACCTCATTTTAAATAAATCAAAAATTATATATTGTTTATAGTATATGTCAAAAAAATTTTAGACAGATTCTTGGCCTTCAGTATTCAATATAATCAAGACAAATATCTTTTACATATTATCTCCTAAAATCAGAAAATCTACATTTTAGAATGAAGCACTAACAGGCAGTCAAGTTTACAAAGATAAAAATGGCTGGAAAATAAAGACTATACATTTCCTACCAGTGTCTCAGTACTAATGCCATCAGGGTTGAAAAACCTCTACCAGAACAAAGATACACAATAAAAGTAGATGGCTTACTTGGTTACCACCAGCCTGTTTTTCCTCATGCTTTCAACACCTGGTTTTTCCCTTTCAGGTTCCCCTTTTTTACCAGTCTGCTTTTTTGACTTCTTATTCACTGCTTGACTGATGGTTTTGGCACAATGCTTAGGCAGCAACTAAATTTAGGCAAGAATTAACATTTTACGTTACACCAATTACTTTGAACATGTAACAACTATTAAACCAAAATTAGCTGAATCCAGACTTATAGCAAATATCATGCAGGTAATAAGGACAGAGATATATGTGAGAAGTAGTTTACCTAAGTATCTTGGGGTAGCCCACAAAACACGGTAGAAAACAAAAACAGGTAAATCTTGTGTGAACAAACACAAGATTGCAATTATCAAGTAGGCTCAATTCTAGGAGTTAACAATAATGTAAAATAATTTACTAGTCACCTAGAAAATTAAGGCAAAAATTAAGCATTTCTTTTGCCTTTCCTTTACGAACTGTACCACTGGAACAGAAGTAGTAGATGTAGAAATATAAAACGTATCACAACAAATATATATAAAAGAACTGATAGAATAGTTTGCAAAAACCAATGAAATAATGGAATCAGGTGCTAACACCACAAACAGCAAAACATCTCCTGATGAAAGAACACAAATATAGTCTTGCCTAAAGCTTTATATTTGTCAGAAATTCTACCAGCTAATATAATTTCATAGCAAGGGCTTTATAGGGAGTTTGAGAATTAAAAAAAAAAAAAAAAAGGAAGTAAATTACTTATTAATAGCTCATTTTCTTTCCTTCACACACAAATTTCCTATTTGTAGTAGATATTTAAATTATTACCTGATCACTAAGAGTACACTGTTCTGTGCAAATATCAGTGATGAGATTTCGAGCTTGTTTGGCCATTTCATCCAGGAACATATTACATAAGGAAAGACTGCGATCTCCAATATGATGTCGCTGATAAAGCAGAATTGACAGCAATAATAATAATTACACGAATGTAGTCTGAATTAAAACATCATTTCCTTAACATTAAAACTATTCATTTAGCCAGGCATTGTGTCAAAGGCCTGTAATCATAGTACTCGGGAGGCTCAGGCAGCATGACTGAAAATTCAACGGCAGTCTGGGCTACACACTGAGACCCTTGTCTCACAAAGAAAAATGACAGTAACAACAAAAGAACTCTATGCATTTAATCTTCAAGTTCCAATCCTAAATTCAGGTACTCAATATTAAAAAATTAAGCAGAAATTATAAGAGATTTAAATTAAGGTTTTCCAATCTTACCTCATTTTAAAATTTATATCTGATAATAAATTTTAACACAACTCTGTAACGTACAAACAAGAAAAACAAACAGCTCAAGTACTGAAATAAAAGTATTAAAAATCAAATCAGTGAAATAAATTCACAAGACATTCCACATTTCTAACATCAGCACACTACCCCTTCCCAGGGACAGGGTATACAGAAAAAGAAAAAAGCTGAAAATGCATTCTTAGCCCCCACAGGGGGAAAAACATTGTATTAATTTTTAGGCTATTACATATGGATATTTAAACTCACAAACACTCAAATCTACCCATTCCTACAGGATTCTGTATTGTTTTTTCAGTTTTAGTGGATTACAGCAGTTTGATGGGTTTTTCTTGTTAGGTAACTGAAATGTTGAGTATATAATGCCATAAATTTTTACACCATACATATGTAATACTTTACAAAGAGAAAAAAATTTTAAGTTTTCCTCCCCCAACCTTCCATAATCATATAATATATAACACAATGTACAGATTACAATACAGTATTTCTACGCTGTTGAAATAAATGTAAGCTACATAATTTTAAGGTATATTTTTCCACACTTACAAAACACTTCTTCTAGTAAATGAAACTTTTTCTTTTTAAAAAAATTGTAGTTTGCATAAATTAATTGTACAAAGGGGTGATACTGTGATATCTACATACATGCATATAATGTACTTTCATCAAATTCACCCTATTTTACTTTTTATTAACATTCTTTTCTCCTCTCCCTTCCTAACAGTTTTCGTAATGCTTTTTTCATACACATAAAATGTTATTTACTTATTTCAACTGACAAATGGTAACTGTGTATTATTTACAGGATACAATGTGATGTTTTGTTTATATTTTTTAGTGCTGAGGATTCAACCCAGGATCTCATACATTCCAGGCAAGCACTTTAACAATGAGTACTCCCAGCACTGAGATTTTGATCTACATGTACATCATAGAAAGATTCAAACTAGTTAACATAAATGTTACTTTACCAGCTTGTTTTCTGTGGTGAGAACATTAAAAATCTGTTCATTAAGACATTTAAAATACACTTTTTCCTCTTTTTTTGAGACAAGGATCTCACTTTGTAGTCAGGCTGGACTTGAACTTACAACTCTTCTGCCTCAGCTTGCCAAGTGCTGGGATTATACAATGTGCTACCATGTTCAGCTTTACATTATTATTAAATGTCTCACTAGTCAGTCCATATCACTAAAATTTATTTCTCCAGTCAAACTAACTTCATATCCTTTGATACCGAGTACAGTTTTCATACTAGTTCAATTTCTTAATGTTGTATTTATGTGTGTGTCTATCTCACAAATATCACCAAATCTAGATTTTGTTTAATGCGTCAAGTCACTGTCAGGTCAGTGAAATTTCCTTGACTTTATTTACTCAGCAAACTATAAATTCAATTTTCAAGTCTTTTCCATAATTTAAGATGAAAAGCTAGTATACAAACTTAATTATTGCATATATAAAAATAAATTCATAAATATTAATACCTAACTCACCATTTATTTTAATAAAGGCAAATAAGTAGCTGATAAGTACGCATATATGTCTATCCACTCACATATTTTTTTTATTTATTATATCTTTATCATTTATCTACTCAAGCATTTTTCTGATTCTGCATAAAGATGATTGGACAGGAAGCAAAATTAGGCAATTAGGACTTTGTAAACCAATTTGATGTAGCTAACTTTGTGTAACATACACATCACAGTACTACACTGAAATTACCTCTTCTGGACACAGTTCATGTGTACAACTCATAAAATGAGTGCAAAGTAGTGGAAATGCAATTGAGTATCTTGACTGAGAGGGTAACTCCAAACACTGCTGAAACATCTTCTCAAAAGCACGACTATAAAAACTACATTAGAAAAAAATGAAAAATGGAATCATAATTTTTATAGTTAAATAGTTATATACTTTACAGCTAAAACAAAAATTTTCTGTACAGTACCTTATAATTAATTTACTTTGAAACAAATGAAAGTTACCAACTGGTTTCATTTATTCCCTTAAGAATAGTCATTATTTCCCCAAAAGTTTCTTTTATACACCAACAATGATTACAAGGCATACAAATATTATCTGTATAACATCAACAAATATTCCAAATTAAAATTTACACAGGAAACAGGCCATACCTATAGAATATGAATATGTGACATTCAAACATTATCCCCAAATTTCATCAACTTTATATCAGTACCAACTATAAGAAGCATTATTATTTCAAGTATCATTAAGAAAGAAAAACATTGCCAATTACACAATCATATGCCACCAACTTAAAATTACATCCAAAGTTAAGATGCTAAATATAAATCTAAACAAATACAATTGATAAAAATACACCAATCTCTGAGTAAAAAGGAAAGCAGAAGTAGTAAACATGTCTTTATTCCGGATGTATGTATAGAAATTAAATATGAAAATTACAAATTTTAAACATTATTCAAAATGTTTTTTTTTTTTTGGTTAAGACTGGGGTTTGAACTCAGGGCTTCCTGCTTGCAAAGGCACTCTACCGCTTGAGTCATGCCTCCAAATCAACTTTGCTCTGGTTATTTTGGAGATGGGTTCTCACAAACTGCCCAAACTGGCCTCAAACTGCAATCCTCCTGAACTCAGCCTCCCAAGTAACTAGGATTATAGGTATAAGCAACTGGTGCGCCCAGCTTCAAAGTGTTTTACTTCTAAGATAGGAAGAGGAATTTCTAATTGTTGTATTCTTTTGCAGTAGAAAGCTTACCATAGCTGAGAAACACCCAAATAAAAAATTTTAATTTTCTTTCTAGGATAGCCTTTGAGTCAGACAATAATACAGAGCTCCAAATAATCTTTAAAAATCTTGCAAATTTTGTGCTCACTTCAGCAGCACATATACTGAAAATCTTACAAATTTGGTATGTGATTTATCTAAACCTAAAAAATGTATGTGCTGATGTGTTTAATAAAATCCTTCTAAAAAGTGGGCCTTTTCTGCTTGGTGATTCAGATTTCTTTTGCAATATGACTAATTAAAGTCATCCTAACAACCTGCCAAAATTGTCACGGACTGAGTTACCTCCCAAAGTAACAGAAAGAAAAAGGTTTTCTAATGACCTCTATTCAATACCTAGAAACTGCAACCACTACCCACTTAGGTATGTCAGAATTTTACAAGAAGGAGAGAAACTACTAGGCTATTCCAATTCACTTCCCTAAAGGCCAAGCAGCAGTAAGTAGAATTGATACCATATACCTGTGGAACATGAAGCCAGAATACTTGCATTTGAACTCTGGCTTGAGTACACCACCAAGTTCACTTACTTATTCAAGCATTTATTAAGTACCTACTACGTTAGATACTAAGGAAACAAAAACATAATGTTCCTTCATTGGCTGCATTTGCTGGGTACAAAGAAAGCGTAGAAAAGTAAACTATAGTATCAAATAAAATTTTTTTTAAAAAGGCTATGTTTTAAAAAAAAATGCAGGGAGTAGTCATCACATCATTATGATACTAACATTTAATTTTAATACTATATAAGTGAAGTTACTAGGTATTTAATTTCCAACATTTATTTTTCTTGACACTGATCCACAACTTTCTTCCCTTAGTCTAATCATGCAAAGGAGGCTTAAAGGTAATTTGAGCTGTTTTTCACATCTTCAAATAAAATCTAAGAAATAAAACTGACATCAATAAAAGGTACTCTTGCAGGGAATTAAAAGTAGGCATAGGGCTGGAGGTGTGGCTCAAGTGGTAGAGCACCTGCCTCACAAGCACAAAGCCCTAAGTTCAAACCCCAGCACCATAAAAAAATTAAAAAGTAGACTAAAGCCCCAATTTGGTAAAGTTCTTATTAAAGTTCATTATTCCCATTATTTTTAAGAGCCTATTATTGAATTGTCTTAAGGTCTATGTTAACATAAACACAATCAAGAAATTTAACTTCAGATACTAAAAATTTCAAAGCCAGATTTAAGGAAAATTGCAACATACCAAAATATAGAGAGATCTGATGTCTCCACCAACATTTCCACTAAAGAGTCTACCATTTTTGTATGAAAGATTATCGTATTCATCATCTTTCCAAGTTCTCGGTGATCTGCAAGGCTAAGTGAAGCCTTAGAGACACTAGTATATGCCTGCATATAACAAAAAACAAATAGTAGTTTGGGGAGAAACCAATGATTTTTGACTTGTCATTCTACACGTAAAAACAAAAATTAATTAAAAACATTTAAACTACTATTATGCTGTATTAGTAACATTTCAAAATATTGCCTGTTGTGATCATAACTTGAAATTCCTATAAATAATTTCTTTAGGGCTTAGGGGTATAGCTCAGTGCTAAAGTACTGCCTAGAATGTGTTCTGGGTTTGAAGCCTGGCACCATTAAAAAAGGAAAGTTTCTTTTAATGAATTGAAGTAACAGAATCCATAAAACAGAATTAAACATATAGGTAATTAATTTTGAACTCCAAAGGAGTGTAGAATAATTGTCATGTGAACCTTACCAAAAGAAACTTTCGATCTAGTTTAAGAAAGAAACAGAGTTGGTGCAGTAGTTCAAGTGGTAAAGCACCTGCCTAGCAACCATGAGACTATGTCCAAGCCTCACTACTACCAAAAAAACCTTCCTACCAATGAAGAGAGAAGAAGCTGAGATAAAAGACTTTCTTTCTTCAGCAAACCAAAGGCAGAGAAGCTGAGATAAAAGACTTTCCTTCTTCAGCAAACCAAAGGCAGAGAGACCATGAGTAGCTCTCTGGTGACAGTACTTTCAACTTTCTGAGGATGAAATGCAATGTATTTAAGTCAGGGGTAGGGGGGAGAGGAAAGGGTGGGAGTAGGGGGGAGTAATGGCCCAAACAATGTATGCACATAAGAATAAATGAATATAAACCAAAAAAAAAAGAAACAAACTTAGGAAACATCATAAGAGAGTAAATATTGCACAGTGACTCAGTGAAGTGTTAGATTATATTAAATCACTAAAAACTGGACAGTATAAATACTGTCCTAATTTGATGGAGTCTATGAAAGTACTGAAGATACTAAAAAAAATTGGTATAGAATGTCCCAAAAATAGGTGATAGGACTTAAACAAAACCAACAAGACAGACTGTAGGGAAAGAAATTCTGTAACAAGGATACCAAATTACATAGAGCAGAATCATGTCCATAGATAGTGACATTTTAAAAGGCTCAATCTTTACTGAAATTCTTTAACTGATGCCCAATTTAAAAACTCAGAATTTAAGTAACACTGTGAAAATAAAGTCAGAAGAAGTGACAAATGAGATAACTTGATTTAAAACACTCATCTGAGATGACTGACAACAAGGGAAGGAGAAATATGTTACTGGAAAACTTTCAAATAAAAGTATAAGATAGGATCAACAACCCAAATACATTAGAAAGCAGAAGGAAGGAAGGTGTTTGAAAAGGAACTGAAGATGCTTAAGAGACTGATGGAAAACCAAAATGCAAAATGCTTGGCTAGTTCACAAGACCCTGAGTTCCATCCACAGCACTATTTTTTGTGGGTTTTTTTGTTTTGTTTTATTTTTAAAGAGTAAGAAGGGTACTAAAAAGAGAGAAAAAGTGATCTATAAATGAACAATGACCTTAAAGTCAAAATTAGACAGGACCCCAGTAAGGCACAAAGCACAGTACCACATTCTCCCAAAAGTTATTCTTCTGGCCCTGCTCTACCTCAAGAACTACTGGCATCCAACAGAACTCTTCAACTCTCTCTGGTCATGTTCTTTAGCAACTTCAACCTCAAACCAATGCTAAGTCAGATCATTCTCACTTCTGTGAGTATTTGCTCATCCTTGTAGTAAAACTGCACGCTCAAAAGTTTCTTTACTTGTGCTTTATCCATTGCTTGCCCTTTTTCTGTACAAGCTATTTTCCTATTTAAATTGTATCTATCTTTCAAGGCCCAGATAAAATCTTGCTTTCTCTTTTAAATTGTTACTATTAATTCCAGCTTGAAAAAAAAGTTTTCTCCCTTCTAATCATATTCTCGTATTCAATCTGTCGTATCTCTTAACTCAATCTTTTAGATTTTTAACTGCCTTTTAATATTTTATAATTTTATGCTTTGTCACCACAGCTAGATTACAAAATCCTCAAAGAAGGGTACAATTCCTCTCTTCCTCTTCCCATAATTATTAAAAATATTTAAAGGGCAATTAAACTCTACTGTTAAAATTATAGCACATACAAAGATGTTAGGCCTACAATTTTAAAGTCCTTAAAAACTACATGAGAAATATATATAAAGTAAGCACTCTTAAAAGTCTAAAACTGTTTATTTTTAAATTTCAGAAAGTTAGTTTCTGGCACAAGATCAGGTGATGATGATAAACTATGAACTGTAGGCGACTTGCTTGTTTTTATAAATAAATTTTTACGGAAACATAGCCAGGACCCTATGTTTATGTATTATCTACAGCTGCTCTCTTATTACAATGGCAGAGCTGCATAGTTAGGACAAGCACTGCATGGTCCACCAGGTTAAACTTAAACTGGCTCCATATTTAAAACAAAAGAAGTTGGCAACTAGATTATAAATATTTTGTCAAAAGAGATTTTGTGCTTTTACTTTAAACCAGGATAATCATAAGACCAACTGGGATTTAAGTTTCTGGATATTATAAAACTATAATAATTACTTTTCTTTCAGTTTTTTGAGACAGGGACTTACTATGTTATCTAGACTGTTCTTAAATGCATAATCCTCCTGCCTCATCCTCCTGAGTGCTAAGATTACAGATATGTATTACCACACTCAGCTTAGTTTATAATAATCTACTTTATTAAAAAACTTTTCTATTGGTTTAAGTTAGACTTATATTTGTCCAAGTTCAATAACTAATATAAAATTTTTCTTTTAAAGCTAGTTATATGAATAAGTCTTTTCAATAGACATACAATTTGTATACTTGTTATATAAAATTTCTCATGTTAATAATCATATATTCAAAACAGAATAAAAAATTAAGTTATTCTTACCTGTAACCTAAACCAATCTAATCTCATTCCCCTGAAATCAAACACTTCCCCATCTTCAACTGCAATAATGGAGGGAAAAAAAAAAAAAGGTTACAAAGAAAATTAGTATTTTTCACAAGCCTATAATCACATTTTACAATCTAAGAGCTAAGACAGCTCCATTGCTGGGCCTATAACCAAAAGAAAACCAGAGTTTCAAAGATTTATCTGTTCATCCATATTCACAGCAGGATTATTCACAATAGTCAAAAGTGGAAGGAACAAATACCTACTGACAGATGAATTAGTAAATAAAATTATGTAATTACAAGGGAGTATCATTCAATCTTAAAAAGGAAAGAAA